CCCTATAAATTTCCTGTAAATTGGAAAAAGACACACAATCTCGAAACAGATGAGGGACATCCCTCGCTTAATGTCATCTACCAATGATTCCCGTCCGCCCAAGTTAGAATAATGCAGATGCAAATGCTCTCAATCTCAAGGTTTTGTAACTTTCACCCAGAGGCGTTCCTCGACGTTCCAAGTTTTTTTTTTCTTTTAACGGGAGAGAAAGTGAGATTGGAGTTCGCCCACGCAACCGTTGGCCATCAACGGCGCAAACCGGCGACAACACGCCAATCGCTAAACTCACTTTCTCTAGAGAAATATAAAATTAAAGGAATTAGAAAAAAAAACAACGCAGGACGACGAACGTCTGTCGGCGATAATCCTTCACGCGGAACGAGTGGAATCGCCGCTCTCACTGCCTGGAACGGATATCAGCGTGCTCCGCCGCTTTGAATTGTCAGTGGCGATGCTCTCTGGCTGGGAATGGCGGAACTTTAGGAGGAATGGGAGGACACTTACACATCTGTACGTGCATGCTTCTTGCCATTTGCATGCATTTACGGAACACGACGTGAGCGCCATTACTTTTGGGGTATCCCTCGTATACATACTTGAAGAAACTCCTTGACCCTCAGGGAAAGGCTCTGAGGGATTGCAGACACAGGAAGAATAACGAACTTTCGAAGCCTGCAAGATACGTTGCCTCTAGAACAATTGTGGATAATTCCAAAATTGTTAGAGAGATGGCGCTAGTATACAAACAGCGGCGCTTCTGCCGTATAGACACCAGCGCCATCTCGCAATCATTTCTTTGAATACTTTTTTTAAAAATGAACTATACATACCATGAGTTTTTTTTATGACATTCCGAGCAAGAAATCCGATTAATTTTGCGTGGATGTTTTGATTTATCGTTCCACTAGGGTAAATTTAATTTCCCACTTTATTGACCCTCTACTTCTCTGCCGGGGATTATATGGACCTTTCGAACCTCAAAACGAATATAAGTCCAATGCACAAATAGATTCCAAGCCCCCTCCACCAAGTCTGCCCATCCCACGGTGTCGATCCTGGAATGACGATTCCCATGCAGGCGACGGAAGCGATCGAAGATGCCCTCGGACCCCACTTCCGCTCTGCGGCTGTGGGCGGGGGAACGATGCCGTAGGTCCTGAAAGTCGCTCAGAAGAACCCGAAAAACTGATCCCAGATTCCCTGTCACAGTTCTGAACTCTTCCCGATCGCGAATGCGAAAGTGGAATCTCTTTCAACTGAGAATACGGAAGTGCCGTCTTTCCCGGTCGTGATTGCGAAATTCTCGGCGATGGACCCAGTGACATTTCCTCTCGCCTTGAGCTATGGGAGCTCATTTACGAGTGGTTTCGGTCCCAAGGTCTTCGTCATGCAATTTTATGGATAATCTTCGTCCCTGGCACTCCCATGTGGATTTCACCTCGTGCTCTTCATAAGGAATTCCCACACCATTACCTCCTTGATAGCTTCGGTCATTCCATCGCGTGAAAGGCCACGGTCACACGTGCGTTCCCAGGGACCCCAACAACTTTTATTAAGAGAGACGTGAGTCTGTTTTTATTTTTCTCCCTCTCTGTCTCTGCACTTGGATGCATTCCACCTCTTCTTTGCCTGACAGGTTTTATCTAAACGATTTCAGGACTTAGCGATGCAAAACTTGAATTGTTCCAAGCCCCGACCCTTCGGGATGACTCGGAAACGGCGAGCATTTCGCATGAAATCCCGAACGGCGGAAGTCAGCCGCGACGTTCTGCCGTCGTTTTCTGGTGAGCAGCTTCTTATCGCGAGCAGGGCGATGAAATCCTTTGTATTCCGAAGGCAACGACCGATCCAAACAGTCCCAGACAAAAGAAATCCATGATGATAATGATGGAACATCATAATGATGGGGTTCAACGAGATGCAAATCGCAGGGAAAATGGCCTTGGGCCATGTAGTTATGGCGGCATTTCGCGTTTGAAAAAATTGTACTTTTTTAATTGGAACTTTGCATCCATCACAGACCGATGTAAAGCTTATATTGCGTGCTTCGATGGGGAAATGAAGAGCTCAATAACCGTGGAAAAATACTGAAATTCTTTGCCGACCGCATTTTTTTTTTAGCATTTCCCTCTTTCCAGTCCCGTCAGTCCCAAAACTCTTGTTTCAAGAGTGAGGAAGCTCCTCAAGCGGTTACATCAATGACGATTTTTAATAGCCTCCAACTACCAGACGCTCCTAACAACTGGGAATGATGAGGAAACGCGGAAAACTCAGCACCGGGAAAGAACCCTCATCCAAGAGTGAAAAAGCCTTCACCTCCTCCCCCCCTCGAACGTTCCCGTCGCCACAAGCTGGATAGGCCTAGCGCCTAATCCCTCCACGCGGCCCATCGGCGTGAAGCTCAGAGAAAATATGTGGAAGCATGTCCTCGGCTGTGAGAACCCGGAAAAAATGAAACCAACGCATAGCCTGTCGTTGGGGAGTCTGTCTGCATGCCTGGAGTGTGGGAGAAGCCATGGAGCTGTCGCAGCCATGGAGCCATCACAGCCACAGAGCTGTCACTGCCAATCGCAACGCGAGCGGCGAGGATGACCTCCGCGTCAAAAATGTGAACCCGCCTTAAGAAAAAAAGTTCTCTCGACCTCCCTCGATCGACAGGATCTGTAAGCCAGCGTCTGAACGATTCGAATCGTCGTCTCCCCGAGTACCAACTCCCTCCACGTGGAGAGGAGTGAAAGGACTCTGGCGCCTCCAAGGATTCCTTTCTCCACGTCGCGTCAGGGCGGATGGAGCAGCGACTGTAACACGAGCCTCCCCTCGCAGCGACCGTGGAGCCGAGTCGAGTCGCCTTCCGTCCTTGCTCCGACCCCATCGAGAATTTCATCATTTGATTCAGAAAAGAAGGCTTCAGACGAAGATGGGAGACGAACGAACTCTTGGGCACAAGTTCACGAGTGCGAGCGTGAAAACGCTGCCGACGTCTTCATTCTCATTTGCAAGAGGCATCTAGCTTCGATCAAAGCTCTCTCTTGCCGCCAGGAGTTGGTGGGTTTCAAAAGAAGTTAATCAAGGCTTCAGACTTGTATGTTCGTGAACTCCCTCATTAGAACCTACGAAACTTTACTCTAACGCAAAAAGTAAATATTATTATTATTATTAAAATATTCATTTTATTGTCGTTTGAGAAGTGGATTTTGCTTTAAATTTTCAGTTTAATGATAAATGAGGAGTCTGATAGCAGTGGATCGCCGTCTCACCGTGATCTGCGGCTCCATTCATGAGATCACTGTATACTAGACGAAGATCGATCGTCAAAGTTATGACAGTTTTATTGATGAAGCTCTCTTATACATGAGATTAGTCTATTTTGCGCTTCCGGGTTCAATGTCACTTGGTGCAGGGGATGTTTCTGGGCCGATGAGACCGGTGCCATCGACTTGCAGGATCTCCGGTCGCAGAACAACAGCTGTCTCCGCCCTCACACGGCTGAGACCACAATTGCACAAGGGACGGGGGGGGCCAAGGAGATGAGGCCTGCGGATCACCGATTCTATAGCTTCTATTGGTACTCTCTAATTGAGCCTTGATTAAGCAAGTATTTTTCATTTTCTAGTCTTTGTGGTGGCATGAGTTCTCTCATAGAGCATATTTGATACTAGAGATATTTTGTTCCTCTATACGTTACTTCCGTGTTTACATGTTTCGTGTTTACACGACGGATCATCGTCGTCAGTTGGCTAAGTAATCGGGCCGAAAGCCGTACCAATGGAGATTTGTAGAGTAACTCTTAGCGGGACAGACGATGTTTCATGGGAAGATAGAGACCAACAAAAAATAAAGGACAAAATAATGGA